GCAAAAGAAGACAAGAGCATAACAAAAATGTTGAAAAATAAAACCGATTGACTCCCACATTTACTGTTACTGTGGAAACCTGTACATTTGTCTTTCTGTCGACTACCACATTTATTGTTACTGTGGAGACCTGTTCGTTTGTCTTTCCGTTGACTACCACATTTATTGTTACTGTGGAGACCTGTTCGTTTGTCTTTCTGTTGACTCCCACATTTATTGTTACTGTGGAAACCTGTTCGTCCATATCTCACTATACTGAAGCAAACTTACCAAACCCATATTCTATTAGTTCTTTACTAAAATAATTTAAAAATAGCGCATGCTTTGATGAAGAAAGTACGGTATAATAAACGAACTACCGGTGGGACAGCGGTAAGCTTACGGACTTACAACGTTAAACTACGGCGTTCGATTCCCCTCTGTATACACAGCAGATAGCATAATATGGCTTTGCTCTAAAACAAACAAAAAAGCATTGAATGGCCAATTGGGCACCGTTGATGCTAGAGGTGTTTTCCTTTCGTTAAATCATGATATCTGTAATTTCTTGTAGTTAATTGTCAGCCTTCAATCGCGATAACCTCAAATATATTTGTAAGCTATCAAATCTTTCCCTCTTTACCTTCGTGATCTCTTCAACACTAATGTTTATCTTGTAGTAGATAAAAGTGATTTTGGTTTCCATGACGTATGCTGAAGCCTTTTGCTTACTTGTAATAATTTTTGACAATAGTTTCTATGATGATCCCATTCCTTGGTTTGTAGTTCAAGTTTTCTTAGAAAGACGAATGAACAGGTTTCCACAGTAACAATAAATGTGGGAGTCAACAGAAAGACGAATGAACAGGTTTCCACCGTAACAGTAAATGTGGGAGTCAACAGAAAGACGAATGAACGGGTTTCCACAATAACAGTAAATGTGGGAGTCAACAGAAACACAAAAAACACATCTTGTAGAACAAGTTACCAAGTTTTGCATCAAAGCCAACTGAATCTCTGCCAGATAATGTCCATATATTTAAATCATAGACTATTTGATGGAACAGGATTTATGTGGAGTTTGTAATTTATGGTTTATACGTACTGATATTTTGTAATATATCGACAGCCTTTTACATAACCGCAACCATCTCTGAAATCACGGAATTTATGAGACCATTTTATCTTTCCAACCATTCAATAACATATAAACATTCAATAACCAGGGCCTATGAGGGCCATCATGGGTCCCATGGAAGAAGTGGTATATACAAATTACATGTGTAGATGCTTAATATAACACGCATTTGTCAGTTTGACAGCGCTAAGTGTTTTTGTATTCCATCTTAATGATAATATTTGTTACAAAATGTGCAAACATTTTGGCCAAGTCTGTACGAGATTCGTAACACTTACTTATTGTTTCTTATGGGAAACATATAAAACATTCATTCTCATTGTTGTCTATTATTAGTTGACTTAGATTTCTATAATAAATCACATGGACTCATATTTTGGCTCAAAATCCAATTTTAAGTTATAAAACAATGCAACAATGTAGAGAGATAAAAAGAATAATATTTATTCGCAGTAAAACTCAATACGTACTTTATGTGTTCTACAAAGCAGAAATGATTCTACAAAACAATAATGACATTTATTTGTTCTTAGTATTGTTGTTAGGCGTGTTGTAACTAATTTGGTACCTATTTAAATATGATAGTACTGTCTGTTGCCTTGTCCATGTAACTACCTACTTTGCAGGGTTTGGATGGATCTTCACCAAATTTGTTATGGAGATTTATTAGATCAATGGGAAGAAATAAACACACTTTCAGTCTTGAATTTTGCGTTTTGCCGTCTTTATGGGCGTTATTGCGTTTTTTACCACTACTTCGCCCCACGTAGATGGATCTTTGTCAAATTTGGTAAGGAGGTTCATTGGGTCCATGGGGAGATACATACAAATTTTCAGTTTTGCATTTTGCAGTTTTTATGGGCGTTTTTGCGTCTTTTACCACTGCGTTACCTCCTGTGGATAGATCTTCACCAAATTTGTCACGAAGGTTTGTTGGGTACATAAGAAAATACATGGAAACTTTCGGTTTCACATTTTGTGTTTTGAAATTTTTATGAGCGTTTTTGCGTTTCTTATAATTACATATAAGGGAAGCAACTTTTCATGTCCTAAAATAACCTTTCATTAATCATGAATGGACATAACTTCCGTCCAGGGGACGAGTACTCCAGCTAGTTTTATATATGTTAGTATATTATATTTAACAA